TGAGCAAGGGAGAGGGAAGATCATCCGCCGCCAGCTCAGCTTTACGTGAGCCCTTTGGCCAGCTGGTGTAGATATTTACGCCAGGGCCTGGGCCTGGGCCTGCTCTGGGTCTAACTGGCCAAGAATGGAAACAAAGCCAATAATCACTCCCCGAGGTGGTATTTTAGGTAGGGCCACATGCACATCTGGAAAAGGGGTGGAGGGAGCAGGAGGCAAGAAACAGTCCTTACTTAGGGAATTTTGATTTGACGTGAAGTGCAAAAACATTAATTAATCATAACTTTTCATCCATGACACACTCCACAATGGTACATGCAGAACACACTTTCATTTTTATTTAATCTGCTATTAGATCTTTACTAATGGACAAATACCTTCAAACTCATTCTCCCCTCCCATAAAAAAAGGTAAAGTACCGACACTAACTTACACTAACCAACTGGTCATGCACTCCCCAGTGAATCCCCCTGCCTGCCCCTAACTTCCCCTGAATCCTGTGTTCACCATTGCCTTGCTTTTCTTTTTAGATAGTTTTATTGCAGCTACATGTATTCCTAAGCAGTTTTTTCCTTTAATTTAGCTGTTTATAAAAGCTGCCGTGCTGCATCTTTTGGTGTCTTTTTTTAGTTAATGTCCTGTTACCAAGATTTGTCCATATTTCTGCATGTCACTGTTGTTCACTTGTTTTGACTGAGTTCAATTCTCCACTGTGGGAGTGCATCGCAGTTTATTCATCTGTCCTCCAACTGACGGGCATTTGGACTCTTTCCAGCCTCGTGGCACTGTGAGCATAGTTGCACATGTCTCCTTCTGGACGTGAGTTTCTCTTGGGCATAAATACCTAAGAGTAGAATCGCTGGGCCATAGAAATGTGCATGTTCAATTTTCAGAGATAATGAGACAATATCAAAGTACTTTCCATTTGATTGCATTTCCTGGAGTTTCTAAGATGATTGCTTCCTCCTCCTGTCCTCCTCAATTTTGGTTCTTTAAAGTTCACGTGTCAGCTCTATCAAAATGTTTAAACCAAGTTTTTGACCTAACACCTGAGTAGCATCTCAGATAAATCCCCCATGTAGAAAAGAAGGCTTGTTGTCAGGCACACAGATAATAAGAGAGACATCTGTGCAGACACAAGGACCCACCCTGGTCTGGACATGGGGCAGGCTACTCAAATGGAAGGGAACTGTCTAGAAACTGCTTCACATTTGGCAAATGCAAGGTAAAAAAAAAAAAAAAGAAAGAAAGAAAAAAAGGTTTAGGGTGGAGTTAAGCCTGTTTCTCATCCAAGTTTGCTTGCTCCCCTCCCCCAAACCTCCCATAACCACCACACACACTTATTTTTAAACAAAGAACAAAAGCTTTAAAATGAGAAAAGAAATCACTTGTAAGTAACCAATTTCAGGTTCAAATGAGAGCAAAGGGTCCAGCTTGGAAATCACTGTACAGTACAATTCATTGCAATAAATATTTACAGAATGCTCTGCAGTGTGACCAATAAGATCTCTATTCTGACCTCAAGGGTTTTCGAGCTTGTTCATTTAACAAGACAGGATCATGCACGAAGTGCCGAAGGGGCCAGTTAGTGCTAAAAAGATACAGATGCTGGCCCGATTTCAAGATGCTCACTGTAGAAGGATTAGCAAAAGTTAGAACACAAGTGCACCAGACACAGAAGTTGGTAGAAGGTGAGCGTGACTAATTCTAACCAATAGGAAAGTTCTTAGAGAGGGAAGCTGGAGCCACATTTTGCAGGATGAACCAGGTAAGTGGCAAGAGAGAGGACAGATAAAAAATATACCTGAAACACAAACTTCTGGACCTTCCCATTTTCTCCTATTTCTCAAACTTCTTAAATCTATTTCTTGCCTCTAGTCCTTCGGAAACACCTAGGAAGTGGTACCCGTGGATCACTGTAAAACATGCATGATTGGCATTTATTTGTTCATTCCACCAATGCCTACAAAGTCAATCCCTCGTGCTGAGCTCCGGGGGTGCACCAACAGACAAGATGGGCACGGTCCCTGCTCTCACCCAGCTCCCGGCTTCCAAGGGTGGACAGAGGATTAGACAAAGACGGGCTTGGCCTGACCATCAGACAGACTCCATCGGCCCAGGAGAGGCCCTCCCCCAACCCATTCTCCCCCTGAAACATTTTCAGTAAATTGAACAGGATTAAAGAAATGGCTGCTTCCTTGGTAATTAGAAGGATCCTGACCATGTCCCAGGTAGTCATGCTGCTCAGAGCAGAGAGACCAAAAACTCAGGTGCTTCCTACATAATAGCCTCCAATCTGATACTTGATCACTGCTGGTTTCCAGAGTCAAACAAATGTCAGGAATTTTATGAAGGCAGGAAGCAAATAAGGGGGCAAGGATTGGGGTCTAGGCCTCAGGGGAGCTCAATTAGTGAGCCAGATAAAGTTAAACCGAAAGGGCATGCTCTCGGTTTCCTAGAAAGCCAGCTGGAAAAGATGCCAATCCTTAAGCCTCTGTCACTCAAAAGATTAACAGAAGAGACCCAGGGATGCCCAAGGGAATGCTGCAACAAGCCAGATGTTTCTGCTCCTCCTATGACACTGCCACACTTCACAGGCCACCAAGAAGGCACTTAGGAGAACTGTAGTCTTTTAGAATAGATGGAAATTCAAAGACATCACCCTTTAGAGATACAGACATCCACAAATATTATTAGTAACACTTGCTTAGAGACTCGCCTGATGCATCTGGATTCAGTATTTTCTCAGTGAGCTACCTCTTCCTTTAACAGCGACAGCATCCCTAGTTCAACGAACACTCCTTGCAGCTGCCTGGTGGCGTGGCAAGCACACAACCTGTAAATCCATATAAACTGTGATTTGGCTCCCAGAGCTGCATATGCACCACGAGTGTTTCAAGCAAGCCATTTAGCCTCCCTGGGTTTCACTTGCAAAATGTTCCCATAAGCATAAGAGATCCTGGAAATATCGATACCTAGTCCAAGTGTTCATAAATGGTAGCCTTATTGTTGCCTATAAATGCATTCAGGTAACCACATGCTCAGGACAGCAGCTTCCCCTGGGTACTTTCTAAACACACACACACACACACACACACACACACACACATTTGCCTGCATGTGAGGGGTGGAACGCAGCTGGGACACACACAAACCTATTTACAGTCCCTATTTATGTTCTTTCACTTCTATCAAATTAAAAACTAAAGAAGCTGGAGGGAAATCTAACCAATGCCCCTATTTTTCCCTGAAGCCCCTAGTTCTCCCCTAGAAGTTGCTTCCTCCACTTTCAGGAGTCAGGGAAGGAGAGCCATATGGCTTGAGACGCTAGACATGCCCAGCAGCAAACGAGCCCCCCACCATTTGTCTCCGGGCCTCTCGTGTGGGCGGGCATCCAGATTTCAGTCGGGGTGCTCTGGTCTGCATCTCTGTCTTGACTGTTCCTAATTATTGGAGGGAACGCCATGGCTCTCCTGACCTCAGAGTTTAAGAGCTGCGAGTCCTAATATCAAACCAAGCAGCTTCATTTAAAAGGCATCCTCAACTGCATCCATAAAAGTCACTCCCGGAGCCCTGACTTGCCCCAGCTTTGGGAATGCCTGCTGTCGAGGATTTATGACACGCCCTGGATCTAATCTGCGGCACTTTAACTGCTGCTGTTGCACATCTGGTCATAAAAGCAAGGGCCTGCCCAACACGGGGACAAACACTTTTCTTTCCTAAGTGGCTGCAAATCTGATCTCACAGTGATAGCTGGGCTCGGATGTAATCAGCCAGCATCTGGGCGGTCATTAAAGCTCGTCAAATTTTGCAAGGCTTTTGCTCCCCACACGACAGCTATAAAGACGATTCTCATAAGAGCTCTGAATAAAGAACCTGCAATCTGAACAGGTGGTAATGAGGGTAGGCCCAAGGATATCCAGCAAAGCACACTTTGGTTAAGGAGGCAACCTTGAGTTTACCAAGATCCTCGCTATTTCGCGGACTCCCATGATGCCGGTGGAGGCAAGCAGCTACCCTGAGAGGCGACTCCCCTGACATAAGCTAATTCTTGGTCAGAGATTGTCTAACTAAATGAACAACGAGGTGGTCTAATAGTACATTTTTTAAGGCAGTGGAATTCTTCATTAGACCAATGGCAGGGGCGGGGGGACGATAATCTAGACCAGAATTGAACACAATGTTGTCGGTTCCATGAGAGCTTACAATGCTGTGGACCGCCTGTCCTGTGCACAGAATTGGCACGTTGCATATCTTTTAGGAACTCCAATCAGACCAAGGTTCAACAAGTAGTCCAAGCTCCCAGCCCAGGAACAGGGGAAGAGACCCTTGCACTCTGCGCAGCTCCTTCCCACCACCTCGCCACAGCCCCCCACCTCTAGCCTCCTCCAGGGCTGTGCCCAGCAGGAGGGAGCATTAAAATTATCTGCTGTGGGTTTTACGAGCAGCGATCGCTTTTTAAAACAACAACAACACAAGGTCCTTGTGTTGCTCTCTCGGGTAACTTAAAACTCTGGAGGCAGAGCTGCGGCCCCCACCTCCCGCCCCCCCACGCCGCCTGCCAAGAACGCCAGCGCTCCGGGAGCGGGCGCGGTGTGAGACCACAGGGCAGGTCTACTTGAGCAGAGAGCGAGCCTCTCGGACGCAGGAGGCACTTCTAAGGGTCTTGGAGGAAAATGACCAGGGAGAAGAGATTGAGAGAGAAAACCCACCAGTGACAGTCCGGGGGGTTGGGGGGTAAGCGGAGTCGGTGCTGCAAGAAAGGATTGGGGGTGGGGGGCAGACAATGGGAGAAATTTTTATTTCAGCAACTTCACCAAGAAGCCCGCAGGAGGCTGGGTAATGTGTGTGTTAGGGGGGACGGGTCCAAGGGGGGGGTCCAAGGTCTGACACCTCCCTTCCTCTTTCCCCTTCCCCCCGCCCCCCCGCCAAGGATGAGGGAAGACGAGGGACCTTCGTCTCCCTCCGCAGGTGGGTGCACGGCTGGGGACGGACGCACTTACCCGGGGGCCCGTGGTGCGGTGGCCGCCAGCCGGAGACAGCTGCACCAACACGAGCAGCAAGTGGGGTGTGAGCAGGCAGGCGCTGCGCGTGGGCAGCATGGTGCCAGCGGGCTGCGGGCCGGGGTCGTGGGCTCAGCCGGGCGCACCGCCGCGCCTGCCTTGCTGCCTTCCTTCCCTCAGGGGCCCTGGCAGCGGAGGTGCAGCGCGGGATGGCGGAGGCTGCGGGCAGAGCGCGCGGTCATGAACCGCGAAGGAGGGAGCTGGAGTGAGAGCGTGTGCTCTGCGCGGCAGTTGCTCAGCTGGGCCGGGTCCCGGCGGCAGCAGGTTGGATGCCAGAGCCTGGGCCATGGGAATTCCCGTTATAAACCCCTGAGAGAGGCGGGGCGGAGCCCGCCCTGATTGACGGGTTGAGAGGCCCGTAGCAGCCGCCCCCCTGGCAGGTGAAAGCCAATGGGAGAGAGAAAAGAGGGGCGGCTCACGGTCAACCCCACAGAGGAGAGACACCCGGTTGCTCAGCCCAATGGGCTCAAGGGGAGATGGGGAGCAAGAGGAAGTTTCTGGTCACCCTTCTATCCGAAGAAGCCTGAGAGTTGCAGCAGCCTTAACCTACCAGCATGCCCACCCAGCTAATAACAATGCCTTAAGCATGCATAGCTTTCAGCACGGGCACTTGAGTTGTCACAACAGCTCGATAGACAGGGAAAATACCCTTAGCCCCATTTTTCTGGGCGCAGAGGAGCTGAGAAATCTGCTTACCCGATGTTTGAATACCAAGGACTGAGAAGTCCACGGATGACCCCTCCCGGGCAAGTTGCTACCGGTGTTGGGAGTAGGGGGTGAGCACATTCATTTTTTTCAAAGAAGCTTCCAGAGGGTGACACCCAAGTCCTACAGCGGTTGCCCCAGGAGAAGTGTTAAAGAGAAAAGGTGAAGCTCCGCTGGGTATCCGTCCCCTGGATAGGGCCCCTGTGAGTAAGGGGTAATGGCCCACTTGTGGATTTGTGGTGGATCCGGGACTGGAAGCCAGGCATTCTGGATCCCTGCCTTGAACTCACTGGAGGGCCAAGGGCTCTCTGTGGCCTAGGAGCCCTGGGCAAGGGGGTCAGAGGGGCCCTGGTCTCCTGGTAGGGGAGAGGGCATCTGTGGGTGCAAAGCCCTCAGAGATGGGTCAGAGGAGGGAAGGGAGGCCTCTCCTGGGTGCCCAACCCACTGGGATAGGACAGTGCAGCAAAGGGTCCAGCTGGATGTTGGAGGGTTTTGACCAGGGTGGTCCCCAGAAGACCCTCTGGGGAACAGCTACAGTGTCACACCAGCCCCAAACCAGAGCGAGGTGTTGCAGTGCATTCACCCAAGAGAACCATGGGTTCTCTTCTTGTGTGGAGCACAACCCTGAGAGTTTACTCCTGTTGGGATGGACCACCCACTTCATGAGGAAAAATTCTTTTCTCCAACCAGACTAGAAACACACCAGTGCTTAACTTCGCCTCCTTGTCTGGGCCTGCAAAGCCCTGACAAAGGTTAGCTCTGCCTCTGGATTTAGGAAGAAGCTTCCCACCCAGTTCCTGTATGCAGTTTTGCCCACTCCCTTTGCCCACCCCATCCAGCCTCCACCTTGTAGCCAGTCATTCTTCCAAAGAGCAAACCTAAATGCACCGCTTTCTGCTTAAAATGCATCAACTCTCCCCAGCACCCTCAGATTAAAAAGCCCAGACTAGATACTGAAACACTAACAAAGTACTTGTGGTTTTCCAAACAAAAATGAAGAACACCTCTAAGAGAACTGCCTGGCTTCCTCTGCTGGGAAAGTGCAATGGTCAGACTTGCTCTCTGGAGCGAGATAAGATGGGTTCAAATCCTGGGTCTGCCACCTAGTGGTATAACCTTGCACAAGTCACTTTCCTTGTCTGGAATCCAGTTTTCCCCTCTGTAAAATGGGGATAAAAATAACATCCACTTCATGAGTTCTTGTCAGGATTTTTAAAAAGATGGAGTATATAAAGTCCTTAGGATGGCAAGATTAGAAGTATCACCATCTGGCAAGCAGTAGACAGATTCAACTTCACAGGAAGTAAACGGATACTCCATGAGTTTGCAACTTGCCTTGGCCTCATTTGCTGGTAAATGACATTCGAGATTCAAGTCCCGGTTTTCAGAATCTAATTCTGTGATGACCATGATGTCCCCTCTTAAATGCCATAGGGTTAGACATTCCCTGCGTGCTCCTTGGGAATTTCTTCAGCAGCCTGCACAGGAGCTGAGACTTCTGAGCTTCACAGAGCTCCAGGGGAAAAGCGTGGAAACAGCAAGGGTCAGCCCTTCCTGGAAACAGCCCTCGTGATCTGGCATCCTGGGAATTTGCCCAGCTGGACTTGTGACACTCATCCAGTACTACCTTGCCTCCTGCAGCACTTACATCAATTCCCATGTGCCCACCTAAGTGTTTACCCACCAAGGACTCAGGAGGATGGAAATGTTACCCCTGGGCTCGGCAGCCCGACAGGCTTGCCCCGAGACTGCCACCTGGTTACAGGCACCCCCATCAAGCTGGTCAACTTCTTTCTGTTGCTGGAATTATTGAGAAATTTGTTGGAGTAAGTAAATATGCTTGAGATGGGCCCCCAGAATCTGGCAGCACAAAATGCCCAGGGAAAAGGCATTGCAATAGTCCTTTCCATCCATAACACCACATGCTGCTTTACAGCCAGAAAGCTTATTTCCAAGTGGTCCCTGGTCCAAAAGTCTACATTATTCTGGATTTCAATCATGTAGCTTAGTTTAAAATATGAGCAACTGCTTTCCAGTTACTTTGCTCAGCAAGTATTTTCTTTCCCTCTGGTTGGCATGCAGGGCCTGTCTTAACCATGGCCATCATTCAAATGATGCATTTCTTCTCCCAAATCCTCCCGAGTCCAGAAAAGGTTAGAAATTCCAGGGAACTATTAGTCCCAAACAGTGTGCCTGTGCCAAGCTCAATCTTCTGATCCAAGCAAAGAGTGAAATTGACAAGTTCCTTCTTTCCCTGGAGACCAGGCTCATAAATAAGTCTAGCTATCTGGGCATGTGGTCCATCCAGTTTCAGCCATACCCCTGGTCCTGTGGGACTTCTATTTACAAGGGGATATTTCAGTAGAAGAAAAATAATACTCCTTATCTTATATTGAGGCCTAAGGTCCTCAAATATTTAGTACTAGCTAGGAGTGACCATTTCAAATAAGTTTGTGTTTCTGTATGATCCAGAGGAAGCTTACATTGTCTTGTATTCAGAACAAAACCTTTCATTCATTTTAACAAGCACTTTGATGCATCTCCTTCTGTGTCCAGCACATGCTCGTCATTATGAGGGATCTTTGGATGCACACTCTGCCCTCTGAGAGATTACAATCTAAAATACAGAGCAGACAGACACGTGGAGACATATTTGAGAGCAAAGGCTGAGATGTGTTTGACAGACTCAGAGAGCAGGGACCCACTATAGACCTCACAGGCGGGGAAGGTCTCGTGAAGAAGGTAGATCTGAAATGGGGCTTTGGAGGAGGGTGCTTCTCTAATACAAATATAGCTTGATTTACATTTGCTTCGCTTGTGGCAACAACTGCCAACAGAAAAAGTTGAGTTTTGTGTAAGGTCCAGGACTCTTTTCAAATAAACTACTGAATTCAGAAGCCTGGGACACCAAGAATCCTGGGTTCTGCTTCTGGATTTATGACAAACTTGCAGCAACACTTAGCCCTGGGCTGAGGCAGGTATTCTTAGTCCAGTGCAGCTGAGATTGATCCATAGAAGTTAACCTTACCAATGCAGCTGAGATTGATCCATGGAAGTTAACCTTACCAATTCAGTCCTTAAATTTTAAATATACATCAAACTCACACACACATACACACACACACACACACATGTGCGCACAACAGTAAATATATGAGGTGATGGGTGTGTTAATTAACTCAGCGGGGGAATCCTTTCATAATGTATACATGTATCAAACCATCACAATTTAAATATCTCACAATTTTGCTTGTCAATTATACCTCAATAAAGATGCAAAATATGCATAACTAAAATAATTACAGTGACTTAAACCATTTAGAAGCTTATTTTTCTCTTTTGTACATAAACTCCCTTCAAAGTATAGGGTAGTTCCTTTTAACTCAGGGTCCTTCTAGTATAGCTCTGCCATTCTTAATAAGCAACATCTACCTCATTGTCCAAGACGGCTGCTCAAGCATTAGCCATCACACCTATTTTCCAGTCAACAGGGAGGAAAAGGGGTAAATGAAGAGCATGCCTCTATCTTTAAGGACACTTCCCAAAAGTCACATTTCATTCCATCTATTGGCTAGAATGTCATCATATGACCACATCTACCTACAAAGAGAGCTGAAAAAAATACATAGTCTTAGCTCAAGATGACCAAAGGTATCCAGCTAAACATCAGGGTTTATGTAACTAAGGAAGAATAAAACACTGTGGACAACTAGCGGTAGGGGTTCTCAACATCTGACAGTTTGATCTGCCAAACAAAAGAACCATGGACAATGCAATGGAGTCCAGAGGGTTCAGTTGCGGCTTCCCTCCAGCTCTGCATGTCCAGCTCCTTCATGCCCAAAAATATTAATGGTTTTAGGGCTAGGCACCCAGACTTCTATTTTTAGATATAATTGGCATATTACATGTATTAGCCCAAGGTGTACAACATAATGATTTGATATTTGTATATATTGGGAAATAATTACTACAATACGTCTAGTTAACATCTGTTACCTCATAGTTACAATTCTTTTCTTGTGACGAGAACTTTTAAGATCTACTCTCTTGGCAACTTCCAAATATGCAATAGAATGTTATTAACCTGTAGTCATCATGTTACACATAACATCCCAGGACGTATTGAGAAGTTTGTGCCTTTTGATGGCCTTCACCCATCCGCCCGTCCTCACCATCCACTTCCAGCAATCACCAATCTGTTCTGTTTTTGTTTTGTTTTGTTTTTAGATTCAACATATCAGTGAGATCATACTGTATTTCTCTCTCGCCCTGATTTATTTCACTTAGCATAATGCTCTCAAGTTCCATCCATGGTGTTACAAATGACATGCTCTCCTTATTTTTTAGCGCTGGCTAATATTTTTTATACATACACATATATATGCCACATTTATTTCATCCATGCATCCATCAATGGACACTTAGGTAATTTCCACATCTTGACTATTGTAAATAATGTTGCAATAAACATGGGCATAGATATCTTTTCAAGTTAGTGTTTTGGTTTTCTTCAGATAAATACCGGAAGTGGAATTGCTGGATCACATGGTAGTTCTATTTTTACCCAGA